AACCATGAGAAAGATGGTGTGGAAGCCTAAAGGGATCGTGGTAGATGACAAGGAAATTAATAAGACCAAGAAGAAGGTGAGTTTCAAAAATGAAGTGGTGTTTGATGATGGTTTGAGGAGATATGTTTCTTTCTCGAATCATATTTTGGTTCAAAATTAATTTCTGCAGTACGCTTACTATAGGTTTGTCCTATCTTATACCAGGAGGAAACTCTCAAAAATACTCAAAAATAGGACATCATGATGAAGTGTTCTTGCGCAAGGGGTACCAAATTATGGTGGTTAATAAATGTTGAAGAGCATTTTCATGTAAATGGCCGAAATGGAGTTATAGTTGATTTCTACTTCAATGGAGTTAGAGGGGGAGATTGTTGTCTACATGAATCTAGGCCCATTGAAAGGTGGTGTAAAATGTTAGAAATGGGGGAGCTTTCTTTCCACCATCCGTGGCATTTATTACCTTATTGTAATTGTTGAAATTTACTCATGGCATTTATTACCATGTTGACAAAAGGCTTGATTGCAAGAAGAATTCCTCCAACCTATTGCTAGATATAGCACCACCCTAAAGGAGTCTTGTTTGGCTTGTTCACATTTGCTTAAGTAAGTTGATGAGCTCTATAAATAAAGCTTGGTACAAGGTAGAAGAAGCAAGCAAGAGAAATTGAGAAGAGCTAAGTGAGTGAGTGCCCTTGTGAGAGAAAAGAAAGAGAAAAATTGTGAGATAATCCTTATGAAGATTAAGAGAGAGTATTAAGGACAATTTGAGAGTTTCTATATATTGAAATTAGAGTGTTGAGAGCTTCTCGAGTGAGAAAGTTTCTAAATTATTGCCCTATTTTTCTTAATTGTGAATTCATTTATCTCTTTCCCATGGACATAAACTTGTTAAAAAGTATAAAAGTCGAATCATGTTAAATTGTTGTCTCAAATTCATTACTGCTTTCGTTTGTGTGAGATTGTGATACTTAAAATTCCCAACTTTAGCTTGGACATTTTGTTCTCAAGTCAACAAAAGACAAGTAAATGTGAAGTGTTTGTTCCGTAATAACTTGATCAAGGGATGCTTCTGTGCTGAGGGTTTGAACTTTGAAGCAATTGATGATTTGAAGTAGTTGATGATCCTGTAATTATATTGAACCTAGTGCCAAGTGATGAGGTACATTTTATATGCTTTAGTCTATTATTTTAATCTTAATTTTGTTGCTATTTGAATGCATAAGATGTAAGTCTCAACTAATTTTACATTTTTTTTCTTTATAAAAAATACTTGAATGCATAATAATAGGAGGTTTTAGGATTAATTGAATATCTTTTAAAAGTTGAGACTAAATTGTGAGAAGAATGTAATTTTATTATACTTTTAGATTAATTTTTCAAATATAACTATAAAAAATATAATTAATAACTTATAATTAATGTTTATTTGTTTAATAATAATTATTATTTATAATTAAAAATATTTAATTTATTCAATTAAAATTAACCATTAATAAATATTAGGTTAAATGCCAATTTTAAGGTGTATTTGGAATTACTGTGAAGCATTGTGGCTGTACTTAGCTATGATTGTACTTTGCTATAACTATGACTGAAAGTTATTTTGATATTTGGTTACTTATTTTTTAAAAGTATTATAGATGAAATATGATAGATTTTATTAATTAGTAATTAAAATTTAAAAAATATTGTAAGATATATAATTATTAAAATATATAATATTTATTATTTTTTAATAATTTA